CGAGCCTGGGGCGCTGGGGGCCAGCGTAGACGCCGGAGTGCCAGCAGGGGACAACGTGGACGCCGAGGGCCCGGAGGAGGACGGCGTAGATGCCGAGGGGCCAGCTGGGGACGGCGTAGACGCCAAGGGGCCGGGGGGGGCCGGTATGGACGCCGAGGAGCCGGCGGAAGGGGCGCACAGGGTAGAGGATGAGCCTCAGGCTAGGGGAGACGGCAGCCCCCCGCCTCAGGCCGAGGTGATGCAAGTCGAAGCCGCCGAAAGCGAGGGGCGCATCCTCGAGGAGCTTGCAGGGGACGCAGCCGCTGACGCCGTGGAGGGGGCAGGGGTCCCGGGGGGAGCGGGGTCCAAGGAAGCTGCCCCTGGTGTTGCGCGGGTAACCGGCAAGGACGGAGACGGGCCCCAGGAGGAGACGGAGGAGGAAGAGGACAGGCGAGAGTCGGTCCCGGAGGGGCCGAGCGAGGAAGCAGGAGCCGGGGGCGAGGAAGAAGCCCCCGACAGCAACGCCGATGGGGCGGCGGCCGTGTCCAGGGGCGCCGCGGAGCCCGAGGCCCAGCTCGGCAACCACCTGCCCGAGGAGGGCGGCGGCGAGTCAGCGCGAGTGAACGGCCGCCGGGAGGATGGAGAGGCGTCGGAGGAGGGGGCCCCGAGGCCGGAGCACGACATCACCCTCTTCGTCAAGGTAAATCTCACTTCCTCCAGCTCTTAGGACGTTCCCTCCCGTTGTAGGTCTTGGGCTTCTCAGGAGAGGGACGCGCAGGAGGGCGCCCTCGGTGTCCTAATTGGGATGGACGCGAGACAGCCGGGGTTTCATGGAGAAGAGTTTAAGGGCATCTTGGGGAGAACTTGACAACTTGGAAGCAAAGCGGTTGGGATGGGGCGGTGGGGAGTGCCGATGTGGATCTAGCATCCCCCTGTCCTTTGTTCTGAAAATGCTAACTGGTCCTCTTAGTCGGGAGGTTATAAAAGACCAAACGGGAAAAACAAACAACAACAACAGCCCCACTCCCCATGCCCTGTTGTTGGAAGCTTTAATTAATACTGAAGCCGGGCTCCGTGGCTCAGCCTGTAATCCCGCGCCTTTGGGAAGCTGAGGTGAGTGGATTCCCTGAGCCCGCGGGTTCGAGACCCGCCTGGGCAGCGAGACCTCATCTCTACAATCAATCAAAAAATCAGCCGGGCGTGGTAGCGCATGCCTGTAATTCCGGCTACTCGGAAGGCTCAGGCGGAAGGATCGCCGGAGCCCAGCAGGTCGAGGCTGCGGTGGCCGGGAGCGGCCACTGCACTCCAGTCTGGGCGACAGAGTGAGACACCAACTCCAAAAAAAAAAAAAAAAAAAATACTGAAGTCAAAAAATGCAAACAGGTAGGTTCAGTGTGAAAAGTATCTTCCAGACTCAAATTTCAGAGGCCCAGAGCTATTCAGTATTTTCAGCTACAAAAAGTTATTTCATTTTGGAAGTTATTGTATGCTTGGGAGGAAAGTGAAACCTTATTTACATATTGTAATGTTTATTGAACGTTTTAACATTTATTTTGGAAGAGCACAAGATGCTGGTAACTTGAACATCATCTGCCTATACGTCGTATTTCTACCCTCACTTCAAATGAGGAAAGAGCAAGGATTCTGTGAATCTGTAGAGGCACAACTGAGGGATTTGGGGGTTAAAATAAGATTTTTTTTTTACAAGGCATCAAAATACAGGGACAAAGTCCAGCAGCAGTTCACACCAGGATCTTTGTTTAAAAAGCTGTTTCCGAAAATCTTGGGTCAGACCCAGGAAAGCTGAAGATAATAAGGTCAAGAATGTGCATTGCATGTTGAATCATAATCCTTCAGAAATACTTTCAGGCTTATAGACACCAGTTACGGCCTTAACATCTCTGGCTGAAATGTAAGCTAATTCTAAGAAGTAAAAGGAAATGTTCCCAAAGTGATTAACATCAGAATTTTAAGAATTGTTTGTGTGGCTAAGACTTGGGGGAAAACGCGTGTGCATTTCTCTACTAGTGAGAAGATATTGTTTCAACCATTTTTCAAGACGCTGGGCCATAACTTGAGGGCAGTAGTCCTTGGGAAGCCGCTGGAGCACAGTGCTGCTGTGTGGCTCCAAATCTACCCCTCTCCATCACCTTGGTTTAAGAAATTTCCTGTTGTTCTGGTCACATGGCTGCATGAGTCCAGCAAATGGTCTCTTAATACAATTTTTATAGACAGTAACAGCTCTTAAATAGTCTTCCCACTTCAATTCTTGGCGCTCTCTAGTTCTTTATAATAGCTAGTGAGCTGGGGAAAAGACCTGATCACTTGTTTCTTAGTAAAATTCTTAGTTGTTTATTGCAGAATTTCATATAGATCCACACTCATTAGGCACACCACAAGGACCTTCGTGTTATTATTCCTGCCTCTTTTTTCTCTGCCTTCTCTTGGCATTTCTGGATGTCTCCACTCTTTGTCACCTGTGATACTGCTGTGCCAGCTGTATTAAACTGTATTCCTTGGGGGGAGCCACATTCTTTCCTGCCTTGAAAATTTGCATGTGCTATACACTCTGCCTGAATGGAGTTTCTCCCTCTTCACCCCTGTTTCTGCCCTCCTGCCTGGTTATCTACTATAAAAGTCCAAGGTTTAGAGTGGGCATTATCTCTTCTGGGGAGTCTTTGCCAACCCCAGTCTGGGTTGGGTGTCCTTCTGCCAAGGCACTGCCCTCTGCATGCTTTGTCTCTTTCTTTAACTGTGTGAAATTCATCACACTAGCGCCAGTGTAGGTCACAGGTGTGGAATGTGATAAAGGTTTGAATGCATGACTGACTGTCTGCATCAGCCAGGATAGTGTGGTGATCAACATGGGGTTAGAGCCAGTGGGTCTCAGGTCAAATCCTGGCTCTACGACTTTCTTTTTGTGTGGCAATGGGCAAGTTACTTAATCCTTCTGTGTCTTTTTTGTTTCGTTGACAAAATGGGGACAATTATACTTCCTATCCCTTGAGATTATTGTGGGGACTCAAAAATAAGAATACATAATGCACTTAGAAAAGTGTTTGGCTTGAAGTAAGCATAATATAAGTGCAAGTTCCCGTTGTTGTATCTACCCTGCTGCCATAAACTTTCATTGATGTTACACAGAAAAGTACACCATTCCATCCCTGCCATTATTTATTTACTTTTTAGTGAAAATCGCTCTACATACCTAATTACCTCCATTCTTTGGAAACAAGTGTGTTATGAAAAGTGAAAACAACTTGTTTTCTCGGATACTGTTTGGGAGTAATTTGTAGGCAGAGGCAAGGGTCATATCCTAGACAGCTTACCCATGATGTTTTACTCTGATAATTGACATCCTTTTTTTTTTCCTCCTGAAAGGAAACAAACAGCTCTCCAAACAGTGAGGTTGGTTAATTTCTGAGGGTCACCTAAGATGTGCCTCATAGGATAGATAGGGTGTCTCCGTTTCTTCTTGTTCCTACTAATCATTCTCTTTAAAAACAAACAAACAAACAAGCAAGAACTCTCAAGCAAAAAACCTTTAGAATCATTTTTTGAGCTTGTAAAATCTGATTTAAAATCATGAAATTAGTTTGGAATAGGATTTCTTTGCCCAATTTTGCCTTTTCTAGGTTTCTTCTTTGGGCTCCATTTTATTTGGGTTCTGTATTCCTCAGTGGACATGTGACCTGGGTTTTGTAAACATGTCTAGGCCAGTGGGTTTTTCTATGGCACAGCAGAAATGTAGAATTCACAAAGCTGTGTTTTAAAAAGAGTAGTGAAATATTCTTCCAAACCTTTCTGTAGCTTTCATATGAGAGCCTAACAAACACATTTTAAAATTAACTAGCCCACATTCTATGTGTGACCTTTTAACTTTTACATTTCTTCCTATTTTTCTAAAAAAGAAATATATTGGTTACAAATATACCAGAGAGTAATGACTTGCTACCTAGTAGCATGTAATAATTGTCTCAAATCTGCGTCTAATTAGCTGTCTGGCATTGTGTTCCCCATTTTTATGGAATTTATTATTATTAATTATTATTAATTTGGTTTGTTCTACATATATGCAAAGACATATTCTTGTAAAAGATTCAGGAGCATATAGAGCAGGTCAAGGAAGACCTAGAATTATTTTGTGGTGAATTAATTGCTAAGTATGCTAATTTTTAATTTTGTTTACTCAAAGAAGGGCTAATTATTTGTCATAAAATTATAGAGTAATCCTGCAATATATTTGTCTTTATTCATAACAACATAATAACACAATAATATAATAACAACAAGCAAAACATTAGCAACAAAGAATAAAGCTGGGACTTCAGCGGTTAGGGAGATTTAATCTCAAGGAAGTCCTGCTTACAGTTTTGGTTCCTCTAATCCGGAGTGTAAACTTTGAGTCAGGGTCTTTGGGCCTTGGGTGGTGTAGTTTGAGATACAGATTTCTTGGTAAATTTTACATGATCTACAAAACCTTAATGCAACCAGTGAATCATCCTGGGCCAGAATTTCTTTTTCTTCTTTGAGTTTTTTTTTTTTTTTTTTTTAGTTGAGGTCTCACTTTGTTACCCAGGTTAGAATGCAGTGGCATGATCACAGCTCACTGCAGTCTCACATTCCTGAACTCAAGCAATCCTTCTGCTTCAGTCTCTGGGATAGATGGGATTACAGGCACACGCTGTCATGTCTGACTAATTTTTTGATTTTTTTTTTTTAGAGACAATGTCTTGCTATAGGCCGAGATCTTATTTTGTCACCCAGGTTGAAGTGCAGTGGCACAGCCATGGCTCACCGCAGACTCAAACTCCTGGCTCAAGCATTCCTCCCGCCTTGGCCTCCCATGGCCTCCCAGAGTGCTGGGATTATAGGCATGAGCCACTGTGCTTGACACAGAATTTCTTTTTCTTTTTCTTTTTGAGTTGGAGTCTCATTCTGTCGCCCAAACTGGAGTACGGTGGCCGCTCCCCGCCACTGCAGCCTCGACCTGCTGGGCTCCGGTGATCCTTCCACCTCAGCCTTCTGAGTAGCCGGAATTACAGGCATGTACTACCAAGCCCGACTGATTTTTTGATTTATTGTAGAGATGAGGTCTCGCCAAGTTGCCCAGGCGGGTCTCGAATCCCGCGGGCTTAGGCAATCCACTCACCTCAGCCTCCCAAGGTGCGGGATTACAGGCTGAGCCACTGAGCCCGGCTGACAGAATTTCTTAAATAGTGTTTTGGATGCTACCTATTTAACTACTAACATACAGCTATGAATGAGCTCAAAAACTTCCATTTGCCATCAAATTTGGGTTCTCCAAAGATGTGCTAGTGAAACAAATTAAAACTCAGGAAGGACAAGGCTTTTGAATAAGCATTGTCACCCTGAAATTCTACGCCCCCAAAAAAAGAGCCTTTGAAGCACTGCCACACCACATGGCTGGGCAGGAATATGCTGGGACCAGCATCTGATGGGCTCCTTGTAGACCAGTAGACCATGGCTCTCTGTGCACATGTTGCTGGGAGTGAGCATGCTGAGACCTGTTCTGTGAGGTTTGGTCTTCGACGAACTTGAAAGGGAGATGGTATTTTCATAACCATGTGTGTGTTGTGTGTTCTCAAGGGAAATGAACAAAGATATACTTCTGAGACTTTCATCCTCTAAAAGCAGCATTTTTTTTGTTATTTGTTTTGATTGTCTTATAAAGCCCAC